TTGGGGGTCCTAGGTAGTAGAATTAATCAGCCCCTTACAATTACAAGTACTAGGCCTTGAAATTGTGGCTTATCCTCTACAACCTTACAAAGGCCCCTTTCAGAGTTTTGGCTGCAGACTCTAAGGACCTACTTGGTGAGATAGTGCAAGCTAGCTCAGTTTTGAAATCAGCTAACCTCTACTCTATCCTAAGAAGTCACAGTATTAGGTTCAAATCTCAGCAGGGAAGAGATACAGACAGCTGTAGCGCCCTACCCCCACCATTCAGTTCTTTTCTGCTACAGAACTTCTGCAGGTCAACCTTAGAGTGTCCCCAGGTGGGTGGCCCCAGACATGATTTCCAGTCAGATTGTCTCAGGCAATACAAACCCTGCTCAAAAAAGATGGATCCAAGGGTCTCCAACAGCAATAGCAATCCACAGTCAGTACTGTTCTGCAAACCCAAGGGTATGGCACCCAGTTGCCTCTGGCAAGCCACCAATTGCCCATCAAAGTCTCAGCTGGGCATCAGTGCTTTTGCCCCTAGGCAAAGTCAAATCCAGGGGTCTGGGACCCCACCTATAGGGCTCAGTCTGCACCACATCTGCTCCTCTGCTCACCAGCTCAGTTGGAGCTAGGGGTCACATGCCAGCCTGCCAGGCTCAGTCCACACCAAGTGACCACCCTCTGCCACAGGCACCATCAGAGCCAAGAGTTCTGTGCCCCCTCCTGCCAGACACAGCCAGAACTGGGGTCAACACAACTGCTGGCCAGGCATAGCCATAACCAGGGGACTTCTCCTTCCACCACTATGTCACTTTCTTCCCCACAAGTCACAGATTCCATGCTAATGTTCTGTGGTCCACATTATGCCCTAATCTCTCAGGAAAAGACCATACAGTCTGGGCTCTGCAGGGGGATGAACTTCAGACCACCATGGGGGGGGGTGAAGGGTAGACTGGGAGTTTGGAATTGCAGAAAAAATATTTGTTCAATTTTATGCTGGGCAGGGTGGTGTGTAGGTTCACAAGACGGATCTCCTTGGAGAAGGAGACCCAGTGTTTAGCAACTCTCCAGTGAGGCCTTTTGGCCCCTGTTCCACCCACAGTAAGCCTCCTGCTTTGGGGAATGGTCTCCTGTACTCTAGTTGATAGGCTTTATACCTGTAATTTGTTTTTTTGAATGCCCTGCCTTGGAGTCACAGCTTGCCAAACTTCTTTCTTGGCTCAGGTCCCCACCTTTGGCTTCATAGAGTCTAATTCTGTCCAGTTTTTTCCCTCTGGTCAGGAGCCTCTGCCAGCATTGCTACTAGTCGGCCATCTTCAGTCTCTCCAGCTTATACTGTGTGTTGTTTCTTTTTATCTGATAATTATGGGTTTGGTTTGTTATTGTCCTTGTTTTTCTGGTTCCTTGATGTGTGATATTAAAATGTTAATTTGTACCAGATGTGGTGGCTCACACTTGTAATCCCAGCACTCCAGAGGCCAAGGTGGGTGGATCACCTGAGCTCACAGGTTCCAGGCCAGCCTGAGCGAGAGCAACCCTGTCTCTAAAAATAGCCAGGCATTGTGGTGGGCACCTGTAGTCCCAGCTACTCAGGAGGCTGAGGCAAGAGAATCGCTTGAGCCCAAGAGTTTGAGGTTGTTATAAGCTGTGACACCACAGCACACTACTAAGGGTGACAAAGTGAGACTCTGTCTCAAAAAAAATAGTAATAATAATAATATAAAATAAAATGTTAATTTGTAACATGTAAGCATTTAATGATATAGACTTCCCACTTAGCAGTGCTTTTATTGGCTCAGTGCCTGTGGCTCAAGCAGCTAAGGTGCCAGCCACATACACCTAAGCTGGCCAGTTTGAATCCAGCCCGACCAACCAAACAACAATGACAGCTGCAACCAAAAAATAGCCGGGTGTTGTGGTGAGTGTCTGTAGTCCCAGCTACTTGGGAGGTGGAGGCAGAAGAATCGCTTGAGCCTAGGAGTTGGAGGTTGCTGTGAGCTGTGATGCCACGGTACTCTGCCCAGGGTGACAGCTTGAGGCTCTGTCTCAAAAAAAAAAAATTGCTTTTATTATATCTCAGAGTTTTTTGGTATGTTGTGTTTTCATTTTCATTTTTTTCAAAAAAAATTTGATTTCTGTTTTTATTTCTTCATTGACCCAGTCGTCATTCAGGAGCATCTTGTTCAATTTCCATGTATAATTTTTTAAGTTCTTCTTCATTTTAATTTCTACCTTTATTCCACTGTGGTCTTAGAATATACTTGATATGATTTCAATTGTTATAACTTTATTAAGACTTCTTTTGTGGCCTATAATGTGGCCACAGACTATTCCATGTGCTAGTGGAAAAAAATGTATATTTTGTAGTTGTTGGGTAGAATGTTCTGTAAATATCTGGTAGGTCCATTTGGCCTAGGGTCCAATTTAAATCCAGTGTTTTTTGTTGATTTTCTATCTTGATGATCTGTCTAGTGCTGTGAATGGAATATTGAAGTCTCCTACTATTATTATGTTGTTATCAATCTCTTTCTTTAGGTCTAGTAATATTGTTTTGTGAATCTGGATGCTCCAATGTTGGGTGCATATATATTTAGCATCATTATGTCCTCTTATTGAATTGATGCCCTCATCATTAATTACATTATGACCTTGTTTGTTTTTTTCACTGTTTTTGATTTAAAGTCTATTTTATCTGATGCAAGTGTAGCTATTTCTGCACAGTCTTGCTTTCCATGTGTGTGAAATATCTTTTTCTACTCCTTTACTTTCAGTCTCTATGTCTGTATGAGTAAGGTGAGTTTCCTGTGTTTTGTTTTTCATCTATTTTCCACTCTGTGTCTTTTAAGTACAGAATTGATTTGGCAGAACATTTTTGCTGGAAAAGATTTCAAAAAGTACAGAATTGAGTCCATTTACATTCCCAGCTAATATTGATATATGAAGTTTTATTCTTGTCTTATTGTTTATTGATTACTAGTTGTTTTACAAATTCTTTGTTTCTGTTTCTCTTTTTTGTCTTTGTGATTTGCTGAACTTTTATCATATTGCCATTTAATTCCTTCTTCTTCCTCCTTTGTATCATTGTTTTATAAAACCTGTGAGTTTAATATTTTTATTTGTTTTCATGATAATGTATATTGTTCTTTTGTTTCCATGTTAAAATACCTTTGACCATTTCCCATAGGGCCAGTGTAGTTTAATGGTGACAAATTCTCTCCACATTTACTTGTCTGGGAAAGACTTTATTTTTCCTTTGTTTATGAAGACTATTGAGGCAGAATATAAAATTCTTGGCTGATAGTTTGTTTTCCTTTCAGCACTTGAAAATGCCATTCCATTTTATTATGGCCTATAATATTTCTGCTGAGTTAATTGTTTTCTTAATTTCCTTTCCAGATTATTCATATTTAGTAAATAAACATACAATGGATTTTTTCATTATGTTGATTTTTGTTTTCTACAGCTTTGCTGAATTCATTTATTAGCTCTAAGAACTTTTTGTAGAATCTTTAGTGTTTTCTATATATATGATTATACATCTGAATACACAGTTTTACTTCTTTCTTTGCAATTTGAATGCCCTTCATTTCTTTTTCTTACCTAATTTCTCTGCCTATGACTTCCAGTACTGTGTTGTATAAAAGTGGCAAAAGGAAGAATTCCTATTTTGTTTCTGATCTTAGAAAGAAAGAAAAAGCTTTTCAATCATTTACCATCAGGTGTTTTGTTAGCTATGGGCTTTCACTTGACATTTTGAACCATAATTTATTACGTACTTTTGTTTCTAAGATGATGGTAAAGCTTATTTTAAAACTTATTAAAAAATAAGTCCTCTTTTTTCTATGAGAAACACATGGATAGCTAAAATAGCAGCCACAAATAAATGTCAAGGAAAATAAAAAGATAGTTCCTAAAGATATACTATAACTAGTAAACACATATGAGAAATATAAGTGTTGTAAGACTATGTAAGAAATCACTATTTTATTTTATGTATTTAGCACAATTATTGAAAACATAAATACAACTCAATAGTAGCAAGACTACGGAGTCACTAGACCAGTGATTCTCAACCTGTGGGTCACAACCCCTTTGTAACAGTGAAAAGAATCTTACATATCAGATATTTACATTATGATTCATAACAGTAGCAAAATTATAATTATGAAGTAGCAATGAAAATAATTTTCTGGTTGGTGATCACCACAACATGAGGAACTATATTAAAGAGTTGTAGCATGAGGAGGCATTAGGACGGTTGAGTACCATTAGGAAGGTACTTTGATGTCATCTTTAGAGAGCCAACTATGCTATCTGCTTTACATATGTCATCCTATTAGTAGTCATCATAATTTTGAGGCATACTATTATTTCCTTCACATATTAAGTGAAGAGAATGAGTAACAAAAGGATTAAATAACTTGCTGGAGGATACTGATAGGCCTCAGATATGATCATGACCTGTACTCTTGACCTGTGTTGTCCGTTGTCTTGTAAATGTGCAGACTTTCTGTCCCAGTAAAATCATTCCACTCAGGTAACTTAGTCCTAAGGAAATAAAAGATAGGTGGGTTGGAGCAGGGAATTGGGGGCAGGGTTCTCAGAGCTATATACTTTCATTCATAGTCTACTATTTATTTGTCAGTATTGTATGTTCTGGAGATAGCAATTTAATACAAAAATATATATCCAGTTCAAGTCTTTGGGAAAATGTTCCTGTAATTATAACAAAGTTGGAGAGAGTGGGAAAGTGATTGTAATTGATGATTACAATATGGTAACTTCATAAAGATTATATCTAATTTCATATAATCACAATGCAGGGTGGTCATAAAGTTCGTGGGCATGAACTTTATGGCGACTTTGTATTTCACAGCTATAATGGATCCATCATTTCACTCTAGCTCATCAGCAGAATATTATTTCCTATTTGACTAATTCAGAGCTATAGACATTTTAGGCTACATTGCTTTGGGGTTAAAGCAAAGGTTTCAGAACTGTTCTTTTTTTTTCAGGGAGCTCATCCGCTGTTTGAAGTGGTATATGGACTGTTCAGCAGAACTGATTCGGCAGGACCACATTCAGGAAGCCATGCGGGTAATGTACTGAGCTCTCTGTACATAAAGGACCCACTCATACAATTGTTTGTGAGTAATCTCAGTGGGGTAGTATGCGGGACAAATGTAGACATCCAAGTAAACTTGCTTGCTTGCTTCAGGAATTACTGCCTTTATCCACATAATTCTTGTTTATTCACCTTGATTTTGCTCTAAGAAAACTTTAAACTATTATTCCTGATAATTTTATCTTAAAGCAGGAGGGAAAGATGATATACACATGGCTCCTAGCCATCCTTCCCTGCCTGATTTTTACCAATAGTGTCAGCCCTTCCTTCCATTGGCTAAAGTGTTGTAACTCCTAAGCCAGTATTGGTGGCACCATTGATTAGAGTTAAGATCTTCCAACACTGTTTCAGTCTTTGGCAGTTACTAGGCATTATTTCTGGAATCAATTTAAGTAAAAAGAGCTGATTGGATATGTTGAGATGAAGATAATCCTAAAACCTTGGCCTTAGGATGAACCTGGGGTTTCCATGGTCATGATCATTGTCAGCACCCTGGCTTGTAGAAGTTCCATGACAAAAAAGCCCTTTTCATTGCTGGATAGCTCCAATTGAGAGGGAACTGTCCTTATTGTGAGTTAAGTCCACTGTCTGATAACTTCTTTTCATGGCTACTGCTTCTGCTATAAATAAAAGCAAAGCAGTTTTGCTTTATTCCTCTCTTTTGATACCACATATCCACATCATCTGCACTAAGTACTAAGCCTGTTTTTGTTGTTGCTGTTTACTGTTACATGGTAACAGGTGTAACAGATTGTTTTCATAAGCAACATCAAATTGAAGGGGCAAAATCAAATCATAGATCTACATTTACCCTATCTCTTCTCTGCACACTGTGTAAAAATCTGAGGCTACAAGTTTTATTCCTGTCCTCCTTCATATAAACATCTACTGAATAGTCACCATCTGTCCTGGGTAGTAAGATACAAAAATGATTAAAACCAGCTCATCTTCCTGAAGAGCACATCCCCAGTGTCCTCAGGGAATACAGGCACAAATACAAGTGTGGATCAGGATGCTGAGTGCGATATGAGGGCCTGGGTTTTGTTTTGAGAAGAAATCAGATTCATCAGTCAGATTCCTAGCATAATATCTGAAGCAATAAAAGTTAACTTAAATGCAAAAGATTCTATGTGATCCCAAAAATTAATTGCTTAAGGCAACTGTAAGTTTTCTCCAGTAGCCTTCAGTGCCACAGAAGTTTTCTCCTAAAAATCATTCATTCAGTCATTCAGTCATTCAGTCAGTTAGTATTGCTTGATATGTGCCATGTATCAGACACTATACCAACCATGAGGGACTCACAAGAAGCCCAAGCAGAAGAGGCTAGGCCCTTAATGTACTTCTATTCAAGTAGAGGAAGATAAACACTAAACATGTAAAACAGATAAATATACAAAGTCAGGAAAAAATTCTTGAGTACTGTGAAGGAAATAACTGAGATCGTGGAATAGACTATCTGGGGATAAAGGGTTACTTCAGAACAAGTGCTTAGGAGAAGCTTCTCTGAATAGGTGACTTCAGAGCTGATTTCAGTGTTAATAACTGGGGGATGAACATTCCAGACTGAGGAAACAACATGTTTAAAGGCCTAGATGGGAATGAGCCTGAGTTTTCAAGGAACAAAAGGATGCTTATATGACTAAAGCAGAAGTTTTCAAATATTAAATTTGATGTGGAAGGTGACAGAAAGTGACAACTGAGGCTGGTTTTAAGGGATCTGGCTAGATTAGCTGTGTTTATGGCAGGGCCATTTATGGAGACAGAATTCTGGAGAAAGTCAGGTTTAGGTGGGGAATAGGAAGAGTTCCATTTGGGGGACTACTTTTTTGAGGTATTTTTGTATTTGTTCTTGCTGTTTCAAATTTATTTTCTAATATTTTCAAAACTTTTATCAGGCCATTTTCCCTTCTTCATCAAATTTCAGTTTACAAGTCCCCTTGACCAAACTAGTAAGTATCCATCCTAACCCGTTTTCATCCTTCTTCACAGGATGCATATGCCTGACCTGAGACTTCTTATTCTGGTTCTTTAGCTGTAGACCAGGAAACTTTTGTTTTTAAGACAGGGTCTTCCTCTGTCACTGCAGCCTTCTACTCCTGAGCTCAAACTATCCTCTGGCCTCATTCTCCCGAGTAGCGGGGATGACAGAAATGTGCCATTACACCTAGCTAATATTTTTTTTCTTTACTTTTTGTAGAAATGGAGTCTTGCTATGTTAGTCAGCCTGGTCTTGAACTCCTGGGTTCAAGTGATCCTCCTACCTCAGCCTCCCAAAATGCTGGGATTATAGGCATATGCCACTACTCCTGGCTAAGCTCTTTTTACTTTTTGTATAGACAGGGCCTTGCTATGTTCCCAGGCTGGCCTCAAATTCCTGGTCTCACATGATAGTCTTTCCTCAGCCCCCTTAAGTGCTGTAATTACAGATGTGAGCCACTATTCCCAGCCTCCTCTAATTTTAAAAAGGAAAATATTTCTCTTATCACTGCCGGTTTTTTTCATTTTGAAACAGCTAGCACAAGAGATGTGTGGAATGCTTTGAAACATCTACCAGTTTCAGAGAGACATAACCAGGCAGCAAAATCACAAAGCAGTGAGCTATGATTGCACTCCAGCTTAGGGGATAGAGCAAGATCCTGTCTCCAAAAAATTAATTAAATAAAGAATACAATTAGAAGACTATGTGGCACATAACTAGATTTTCCTACCTCTCAGAGTTCCTGAGATTTAATTTTTTAAAAAAATGTATTTTATTTTCCTGTCTTTACTTCTATTGTTCCACATAATTGTTGATTCTTCCTGTATCCTTCTTGGCTTGGGCATATAATAGTAAGGTGGTCAATAGGCTCACATTCTATTCTTATTCATGCCACCTTTTTGGTGAATCTCTCCAGACCATTGTGTGACTTAAGTGAGGAAGTCATCCTAACTGCTGTAGTCTTTTCCCAAGGAAATCTACTTTGTCTTTACCTATACGAATACAAAGGTGTCAGTGGATATGGACGCTGTCCCTCCTTTGTCCTCAGCTGAGCCCAGAAAGTTATCTTAATCATATAAAACCAAAATAACTAAATGAGGAAGGTCAGACTTGCTACCCACTTTTGGTTTGGGAAACACAAATTTTATTTTATTTTTTTAATTTAGTACATAAAATACTCACCACTTCAGTGACTTCAAGCTGGCATAACCTAATAAATGAAGCTGGCTCAGCACTGTGTATTTTCTGCTTCATGGACCTGAAGAGTCACCACAGTCTAGACATTTTGGAGCAATTGAAGAGTCTGGCCTGCAAGTATCTGGATTTTAGAAACTGACAGACTGTTAGGTATTTTTATAGATCAGGCATTAAAAGCTTATTGGAACAGAGGCTGTGGCATGTATGGAGATGAGCCACATGTCAATTTCTTCTGCAGAATCTCCTGTTACAAGTCCTAGAAGACACATTTTTCTAAACTAGCATTCCCCAGTTTCATCTAAAGATTAAGCTCTGCTGTGCCAAACCTCTGAGAGATGGATAGATCATGAAAGGTAGCTTGGGAATTATTTCCTTTTACATATTTCAGATAACTGAGTCCTGTTTCTTTCATCCTTGAACAAATTTCTCTCCATTAAGTCTGCCTTTTCAATCTCGAGGCCAAGGTGGGTAGATTGCCTGAGATCACGGGTTCAAGACCAGCCTGAGCCAGAGTAAGACCCCTGCCTCTAAAAATAGCCAGGCATTGTGGTGGGAGCCTGTAATTCCAGATACTTGGGAGACTGAGACAAGAGAATCGCTTAAGCCCAAGAGTTTGAGGTTGCTATGAGCTGTGATGCCACAGTACTCTACTAAGGGCAACAAAGTGAGACTACCTCAAAAAAAAAAAAAAACAAAAAAAAGGAAAGGAAAGAAAAAGAGAGAGAAAGAAAGTCTTCCCTTGCAGTGTCTGGAAAATATGTAGCATTTTTTTATTAGAAAATATAGTCTTGGTTCTTAAATCTCCAAAATATAATCTTGGTTCCCTTAAAAGAGAATAGCCATGCATATAAGCATAGGCCAACCTGCAGGCACTCCTCAGAATCAGATTCTGTTCGCAAACCGTTTAGCTTTATCTTCTGTATTGTTTATGAAATGTTTATGGCAGATGTCCTAGTTGGAAAGGGATGAAGAGTGAATGTGTCAGACCAACCAGCTGCTGTACAACCTGCAATGAGTTTTCTCCACACTTCTGTGTCCCTTAGCGAGAGGAGAGACACTGTGTCAGACCCCAGATACATGTATCAAAGATGCAGGCAACCTCTTAAAGGACTTTTCCTTGCAAAAAATTCAGGAGTGGGCCTTAACATCCTTGCCTTTTGAGCCTTTTACTTTTGCACTTGAAAAAATGTAAATTAAACTTTTTGATTCTAAATGTTACTGAATTCAACTATTTCTATTAGTCTATGGCTCCTTAATTCCAGAACCTCAGAAAAAAGTTGTGAAATTGTTTAATGATTCTCTCAATAAGAAAACACCTGCTGCTTAATTACACTTTGGATATTTAAGGACAAATTTTAAAAATAAAATGCATGTCTCTATAGTTAGAATTGTCCATCACTTGATTTTAGTGTAGGATTTGCTGTTAATTTGCCTTTTGTTTCCTGCTATGTGAGTTCTTGGGCATCTTCAATATCTATCACCTTTTTTCCCATGCTTTTCAGGCTTTGGAGTACCTTTTCAAGTTCATTGTACAGTCACGGATCCTGTACTCACGAGCAACGTGTGGGATGGAAGAAGAACAATTCCGATCCAGCATCCAAGAACTTTTCCAGTCCATTCGGTTTGTGCTCAGTCTGGACAGCAGAAACTCAGAAACACTCCTTTTCACTCAGGTCTGTAAGCTGCAGAGAAGCTTTGCTGCTGAATTCCTTGTCTTTCTTAGAAGGTGGTTTCTTTATCCCCTGGTTTCCAGAGTTGAAGAAGCCCTGCCAGGATCCTGTATGTTAGGTAAGGGATGATTTACAAGGAAATACCTGATAGAACAAAATGCTACTTTTACGTCAAATCTAGCATTGTCTTACCTGCCAAATATAAAACAACTCTATAACTTAATAGTGGAGAATAAGTACAAATTTATTCTTATGAACCCTTTTGAGACCAAATTCTTTTAGCTACCATACTATTCAGTTTTTCATGAATAGATTCATAGAGAACATTAAAAATGTACAGGAAATCTTATTTCCCAATTAATCACTGTACTAATTCAGGAAAATTTAGATTAATACTTATCCATTTAAGAAGAGTGAAATAAGTTGAAAAACAGTAGGAATAACTAGAAATTTTTTGGCTAAGAATTGGGATTAGATTTTACTACTATAGAAACATCTACGTGGGAAGGAAATTTGCATCCTTATATTAAAACTGCCTGGCCAGCTAATCTGTTACCTTTTCTACCCAGCCTCACCCAAGAACAAGTTTAGGATTCACTACCCTAGTCACAATAATAATAAAAATGAATGTCAGAATTTTTATCTAATGGATTATAGTTCTTTGAATATTTGAATTAAATTATCACACCAAAAACTATTAGTGAAGATCAGACAGCCTCTCTTGTGTCAATTCATTGAGTCACTGCCAGGTGTGGTGCTAATGTACGTATATAACTCTGTCTCTTTTAAGATTACAATAGTCTACTTTTTCCTGTTTTCCATTTGCCTCTGTGTTGCTTCTTGAGACCAATTGCCAGAAAACCTCAAGGTTTATAAGTGCCTCTGAAAGGAAGTCCCCTTCCATGATCTTCACCTCCTAAGTACCCCAAGCAACTCATCTTCCTTCCCCTGCACCTCCCACAGCCCATCTTTTCCTTCTAATAAGGGCCAAGAACCCCTACTCTTCCCCTCAGCCAGAAAAGAGATAGGAGGAAATTGGAGGTAGCTATTCAAACAAAGCAGATATGTCTTCTGGGAACTTGGCAATTCCTTGTACTCAATAGCGTACCCCTAACCACTTCAAGAAAAATAACTTAGACCTAGTCTTCACTAAGAGCTGTGTCAGTATTAGTCCTACTTTGGTGCCAGGCTCAGGTTTTATAAGTTTCAGAACTCTCAGGAAACATTTTATTCAGTTAAACTTTATAGCTTTGATTAGGACCATGAGAAGATGTCAGGGTGCAAGTATCCTTCTATTATAGTGCTTAAAAATAGGACATTTCACCATTTTGGAGAGCAAATCCATTACTTTTTTTTTATTGATTATAAAGCATCTACTTTTCTCCCTTTGTCTTTTGTTTCTAACCTGCTTATAATGTGTTGTATTCTGGTTATAGTTACTGAAGAATAGTCTCCTTGCTATTCCAGGGAGTTATAAATCTACACATACAATTCATATAAATTCTGTACTTTAGTCTTGCCTAAACATAAACCACAGTACAGGCCTATTTCCTGTGTCATAAATTTCACTCACTCTTAGCCAGTGTCTAATGCCTGATGAAGCAGTCAAGAAAAACAGCCTCCTCTCTCCCACCTTCTACTTGGGAAGAGTCAGCTGTCACCTTTTTGTCTCAAGGTGGCACTCCATTTCCCATTGTAAGTCTGGGGTTAATGGTTAAGGCTACTTCCAGTTAGGCAAGAGAAGAGAATGAGCACCTCAATATTTAAGACCTGTTATTGTCCAGGCACTCTACTGGAACCTTTTTGTATCTAAATTTTTTAGGAGATCAATAATAGAATTATCCCCATTTTATTAATGAAAATATTGAGGATTAGGCAGTAACTCACTAAAGGTTATGTACCAAGTAAGTGGTAAAGCTTGGATTTGAACTCATGCCTTTCTAATTCCAAAACCTATTCTCTTTCTCCTACAGTGTTCTTCCTCTCAAAGGCTCTGGAACTATTATATTATCAAATGTCTTCAAGAGGTTACATCATGGGTCTACCAGAGCTCATATCCTAGAAGAGAAGCCTATACACACATACTCTGAGTCACTGAACTTGAAGACATCTCTTGAGGACTACTGACTAAATCCACACATTCCTCACTCTTTTTCATTTATATTTGAGATTTCCAGGCATCACATATGAAGGAAATGTCTATCCTGGAAAAATTATCTGGCTTTCAAAGCTGGAAGCCTGGCTACAGGGATGTGAGCAGAGTTTTTCTGATGCTGCTTTTAGGCACTCAACTCTCTCTGCCTTACTTTCTTCCATAGGTTCCTGGCTTGAGTTTCAAACAAAAATTGGAAAGTCAAGAGTTTGATCATAGCGAAACAAGAAATTTAAATCTATTTTATAAGCAAAAGCAACTATGAATCTTTTTTTAAATTTCAGATTAATAATACAAGGGTACATATAGTTTGCTTTTGTGAAGTTAAAATTCGAGTTGTAGTTGTGTCCTTCACCCAGGAAGTATGCTATAAACCTGTGCAATATACTCATTGGGTAAGAACTTACCCAGTCCCTTATAGCTATGGATCTTAACCTACATTGAGCAAATTTCTCTTCTTTCTTTTTTTTTAAGGGTCTCACCCTCTCACACAGGATGGAGTGCAGTGGCACAGTCACAGGTCACTGCAACCTCCCAACTTTTGGACTCAAGCACTCCTCCTGGTCAGCCTCTCAAGTAGCTGGGATTACAGGTGTGCACCACCACACCTGGCTGACTTTTTGTATTTTTAAGTGACAGGTCTTGCTATGTTGCTTAGGCTTGTCTCAAACTCTTGACTTCCAATAATCCTCGCATCTTGGCCTCCCAAAGTGCTGGGCTTATAGGTGTGAGCACCTGTGCCTAGCCCAAATTTCTCTTTATACTTCATTCTCTTACCTTGGCAAGTTATGAAAAACTTAAGTTGCCTGGGCCCCAGCAAATTATCTTGTTTTCATGTTCTTTTTTGTTCTCCTTGCCCCATACCCCAGGAGTGCTATAAGGATGGGTAGAGTCAAGGGCCAGAAAGGAGCCCACCCAAGGAAGGGATGCTGCAATGCCTTCTCAACCTCCACCACCTTGTATTGTTCTGTGAGTGTGCAAGATAGACACACATCTAACTCTGAGCTAACCACAACATCACTTGCTCCTGCAGGCTGCACTCCTCAATTCTTTCCCAACCATCTTTGATGAACTGCTACAAATGTTCACTGTACAAGAGGTGGCAGAATTTGTGAGAGGGACCCTGGGGAGCATGCCAAGCACTGTACATATCGGACAGTCAATGGATGTGGTCAAGCTGCAATCCATTGCCAGGACAGTGGACAGCCGCCTATTTTCTTTCTCAGGTAAATCAAGTTGGAATGAGAATCGTACTCAACTTTTATCCCTTCCAGGGGTGATAGCCAAATGATAATCAAAGGATCTGTTTTGTCAACCATTTCAACCATCATTCAAGAAAATGCATTCTTAAAATGCAGAATTTTGGATTAACTATGTTAGCAAATGCAGCCAAGACCTAGGCCTACTGCCTCACCCACAGTGTATTCCTAGGGACCCACACCTTAGGAGCATATTAATAGAGTTGTGTGATAGTTTATTCAGACTGCTGTAAAGTGATACCATACATTGGCTGTCTTATACACAGCATTTATTTCTCATAGTTCTGGAGAGTAGAAAGGCTAAGATCAAGACACCAGTAGATTCACTATCTAGTGAGTGCTCACTTCCTGGTTCTTGGATGGCTGTTTTCTCTCTGTGTTTTCACATGGCACAAGGGGCAAGGGAACTCTCTTTTTAAAAAGTACACTAATTCTGGCTTGGCACCTGTAGCTCAGTGAGTATACAAATATATGGGAAAGCAAATAACAGACTGCCTTTACTAACATACTTTATTTCTGATATTTTTGCAAGTACTTGCTGATTCATATAACCACTTTACAAAAATTTTTCTTAAACCTTATGTGGCGTTGGACCATGTAAGACCATGTAATTGGATTTTGAGATGACAGTCAACCACCAAAATTTCATTTGCATATCAGTTTCATTAAATGCCTGAGCTGTAGCATCTTCTCTATCTCTTTACCAATGATATCAATTAACCAACACTTACATTCTCAGATTCCCTCACTTTGGGCTCTTTTTCACCAAGCAGATATTTCTTGTTATAAATCCTACTATATTGATATTTTGATCATCAAAATGCAATATCAACTGTTCTTTTATCCAAGCCTTATTTTAAACATATATTAGCTATTACTCCATTCTATTTGAATATAATTCTAAGTATTTGAGAAGGCAGTGCCAAAATCTCACATATATAACTTATATTTGGCTGATAAAGATTTTCTTTCTGAGTTTCATGTGGAACACTTAACTATGGTCAAATATGAACAGTAAATCAAAAGTGCCATGGCTTGCTTGTATTATTGATAATCTCTGACTATGCTGGCTAGATATAATAAAACCTGCAGGGTCAGACAATCACTGACCACATAGGAGTATAGGGCACCAAAAACATTCACATTTATATTTTCCTTTGATAATCAAGTAAATTTCCTGCAACCATCTTGCAGAGCAAATGTAAGTGATTCTCACTTATAGGTAAGGAGAATCAAGCCTATGTGAGTCAGCCTAAGGTCTCAGAATAATAGGAGGCTTGAATTAGGATTCATCCTTACTGAATTCAGATTTCTAGAAATAGTCACCTCCTGGTGGAAATGCTATTCTAGTAACATTGGGAGAAAGGAAAACATGTGAAGTATACACTAGGGTTGATGATAAGCATTGGCTAATTATGAAAGTCTTATGAGAAGACAAAGATTGTGCTTCTATTCATTGCATTGGATACACAGCAGCAATCTAATAAACCTGTCAGGAAAAGGGAACAGGCCTGATAGCTCACAGCAGGAGTAAGCATGCCAGGCCACCCTAGCCATGGCATGAAAAAAGACAATCTGCAGTCCATATCAAATCTGCAAGTTCAGTCAACCTAGTTCATACTAACTATGCCATTTAATTGGAGTTTTCACTGTAAACTGTGCCTTTAATTTGGAGACTAATCATTTAGGAGATTCCATTTCATATGAAAGCTATAACCTAATTATAGCCTAAGAATATGGGGAGGAGGAGGGACGGGAGTGGGTGGATGGGTGGAGGGAGGGTGACTGAAGGGATCGCCTCTGTAGATTATCTTTCTTTTTTTTTTTTGAGAGGAGCCTCAAGCTATCCCCCTGGGTAGAGTGCCATGGCATCACGCTCACAGCAACCTCCAACTCCTGGGCTCAAGCGAGTCTCCTGCCTCAGCCTGCCAAGTAGCTGGGACTACAGGCGCCCGCCACAACGCCCGGCCATTTTTTGGTTGCAGCCATCATTGTTGTTTGGCGGGCCCAGGCTGGGGATTCGAACCCGCCACCTTAGATGAATGTGGCTGGTGCCTTAGCCGCTGTGAGCCACAGGTGCCGAGCCTGTAGATTATCTTTCAGGGGTACAAGTGAATCTTTCTTAAAGTAGAATATAAACGTTGTAGCACAATAACTAAGAAAATGACATGAAGGCTATGTTAACCAGTTTCATGAAGAAATTTCAAATTGTATATGAAAATATCACACTGTACCCCATGATTGCATTAATGTACACAGCTATCATTTAATAAAAAAAAAAGAAAGAAAGAAAGAATGCAGACTCCCAACATTCATTCTAAATAAAATGTCATAGATGCTGGGGCATGAAATGAGAGCAAAGGAACGAAAGATAGAAGAACAATGTCATGGGATAATTTATAATCTCCAGGCAGTGCGCTTTGGGGCCCTTATAAAGGAAGGTGATAAACTCCACCTTTGCTGCCGCATCAACCCCACCCTGCTCTGACTAGCCAAGTCCTACGGTGCCACTGCCTTCTAGAAGTAGCTAGTTGTTCTCTGAAGGGCTTCTTTACCTTTGTGTTTTCTCTCCCAGAATCCCGCCGCATCCTGCTTCCTGTGGTTCTCCATCACATTCACCTTCACCTGAGGCAGCAGAAAGAGCTGCTAATCTGCTCAGGGATTCTTGGCAGCATTTTCTCCATTGTCAAGACCTGCTCTCTGGTAGTAGCCCCATACTCGTTCTACCCCACTCAGCTCTGCCATAGACAGACCAACAAAGATCACTTTGTATACTTCTCAGTCAAAGATGTTTTCATCAGTGATAGAAATGTGCCCCAGTGAATGGAGACTTGTGGGTGCCCTGCAAGCTTCTTACTACAACACATTCTTGCTATATTAAAACTTCCACTATCATAAATCTACCCAGAAATATAGTCATCTGTAGTACCAGAAAGCCCAATCCTGTGCCATGCTCCATTTCTCTCAAAAGTTTAATTCTGGATTCCTGGGAGTTTTCAGAGGATACTTAGGCATGAACACAGGGAGGCAGACCCAGACTGAGAATCAGCTTGCTCATTCAGACTTTTCTGTCAGCTTTCTGAAGGCTTGATTCCACCCATATGGCATTCCTCTATGGTGCTAGATGAGATCAGGATATACAAAAGGTAAATGTTACCCACAAGAGCTCTAAGCTCTACCATGGAGTGGTAGAAATATACTTTAGGGATCAGATTTCAATAGATAATACTTTTGCCTATTTTCTTTGCTCTTTTTTTTTTAAAAGAGATCTGTGGTAGAAGAGAAGAGATTGAGGTAGGAAGGAAAGAAGGAAAGCCATGTGTGAGGCATGAGTGAAGGTAGGAATTTATGTTAATGCGAGGCATAAGTGAAGGTAGGTATTTGTGTTAATTATATTTATGTTGTATATTTTTTATAATAGAAGAAATGCATATTTCTTACAGAAAATTTAGAAACTACAAGAAAGTATGAAGAAATAAAGAACAAAGATAGGTTTTTATTATATCATTAAAGTTTCTAGAGAATAAAATTTCAAGTTCATTTAAAATGAAGGCCAGTATCTTAGATAATAAGAACATATCCACATGGAGCAGGTGACGTACCTAAAAGAAAATAAATTTTGTTTGAGTGAGGGACAGGGACCCAATAGGGTATTCTGGTATTCAGTCTTGAAGTACATCTGGTTACAGATGCCCAATATAGCAGAGAGTGTCTATGATGGTGGTATGGCCCTATCATTTGCTCTTGGCTCCAGGCAAGACTTGGTAGCTCTTCTTCCTACCAGGTCTCAGAGAAGCCACACTAAGCACAAAAGGTCTCCTAGTAGCTCAAGGTTGTATCTGAGGGGGTAGGCCGCTTATGGGTAAAAAAAGAGAAGCAAAAAAAGAAAAGGGAGGAATGGAAGAGGAATGAGAACCAGTAAAAATCTAGAGGAGATGATTTGGTTGTATTCTTTGGGGACTTAAGAAAGTTGATAATTAGTTGCTTACAACTACTCAAAGATATGTCACAGGTAAAAGTATTATAATCATTTCAACAGATGAAAAGATGACTTTGGCCCGAAGGATGCTCAAATTCTTCATGAGGAATGGAACAAAGTATATTATACATAGAGGGAAGATGAAATTTAATCTCATTGAGAGCAGAGATGTATATATACACACATACACACACATACATACATACATACACACACACATACACACACACACTTATATATGAGAGAGCTAAGGAGCTAGAAATGAGACACAGGCCTATCTGCACAGCAGGAAGGGCTTGCAAAGACTGAGAGCACCCTGAGAGGGATGAGCTACTTCTGTGTGTATTAGTACTAGTGTAGCTGTTGCCACATGATGTGGTATGAATACTTTACCATTTTTTAAACCTTATCATTTGTCTAAGTGTTAGTCAGTAGAGTTATGCTTTCTCTTGACGAGTCTGAGGAAATCAGAGAAAACAGTTAACTCAAGACCTTCACTTCTACCCTCTATATCAAAATTAACTTTTCTACCTGAGATTCAGAACTGTGGGTGGGGTTAAGGTAAGGCCCCAGCCACCACTCCTTAGCAACAATAAAAACTGAGTCGAACATTCTCTCAGAATTGTCCCAGATTCCTTGACACCACATGTTGGTAAGACTGTGAGCTCAATTTTGACATGGCTCTCTTAGTAAGTGCTACCAGCTGCACATCAGCCTGGCCTAGTGCTAATGATGTACTCTCTTGCTGCTTGCTCCAGGAAGCCGATGTCATGGAGGAAGTAGAGATGATGGTGGAGAGCCTCCTGGACGTGCTCTTGCAGACTCTGCTCACCATCATGAGCAAATCGCACGCTCAGGAGGCGGTAAGAGGGCAGCGATGCCCGCAGTGCACAGCCGAGATCACTGTTAGTAACTAACATCCAGGTTTTCTTGCCTTCTTTTCTAACCTGGGGTTCCTCCACACCATCTCCATCTCACCATCCCACTACCTTCATCAACCTCCCCTCCTGCATGGTTATCAGCATGTTTCCGTTTTTCATTCTTGAATCTGGCTCCCCTCTCCACTCTGAAAGCTCTAGGTTCATATTCCCACAAGTTTTCTTCTGGGCATATTCAGGGGGTGCTTCTTGTCCTTAAATTTTCCTGCACACTGATTCAGTTGTTCTTTGCCTTTGAACCAAGTCATTTTTTACATTGTGTAATGAAACAGGGTAAGATGTAGTAAGAGGTTGAACATGAAAAATAGACTATTTCTTCCAGGAACCCCCTCATAGAGACTCTCCTAAGTGATGCACAAGATAGAATAATTTTCTCAGAATTAGCTTATATATACAAATTAGTTGCCTTTGTCCATAGTGTTTACATCTAAATTTCTAGGCTCAGGAAAAATGTGATATAATACAATTGTACTAGCATAGCTGAATAATTATTTTCTATGATCAAATTGGAAGGGAAACAAACTGGGAAAGCCTCTCAGGAGGGGCAGAGAGATAGCATATTGTGCCCCCATGCCCCTGCTCCCATATCCAGAGTAGACTTCTGAGCCCTGATATGGGAAAATGATAAACAGTTACTATGGAATCTCTCAGGAGATGAGAGAGTGCAGTGATTTCTGAAGAAAACGCTCTATAGGAACAAGCCGAACTATAGCATGCTCAGGAGAGCAGGGAACATGTAGGGAGCAGGTATATGTTCTGGAGCATTGGGCTTGGAAAGAGTGCTCCCTTAGGAGACCCTACTGAGAGTACTCTGTAAATAAAAAACATATATACCCTGGAATGTCTTAGTAATCCAGCCTTCGAACTAACACTTACACAGTGCTTCCTTTGGGCTAGACCCTGCTTTAAGCACTTGACCAGTATTAACTCATTTAGCAATACTAATTGATTCATTTTATATAGATTATAATGAAGATAGTAAAAACGGTAATTATTAGCACCTTTTAAAGAAATGGATTTTGTCTACAAATGCTTTATATATCATATATTAACTCCTCTGACCCTTAAAACAAATGAATTATGGCTTGTTATGCCCATTTTTTCCCAGATAAAACTAAGGTTCATGTTGCATATATATATTTTGCATACATATATGTGTAGTAATTTTAAGTATCTAGAAAGGATTTAGGAGACTAAAAATCTGTTGTCAAATTCCTATGAATTTCAAATATTTAAAAATTGTCCAGTAAAATAATTTTTCTCCTTCACTTCTGAGGAGTCCGCCTTCTAAGAGGAGTAAGTGTTTGGCTGCCCCATGCCAAAAATTGCTATAAAATGGTGTTTAGAATCCATAAAGCAAAATTTTCTTCCGTGTATCCCAGTTGGAACTTGATATACTTCTGAAGATTCATATTTATCATTAAATTTCTATTTATCAAGAAGCCCATACCTTGCCCCCTCAGAAAGGTCAGTTTTGGCTTTTCTGCCTTTCAGACAGTCACATTAATCTGCTATGTTCCATTTGCCCAGTTCAAGAACCCCATGCAAACTCTGAGAGGTCCCCAGGGAAGTCCTTATAGAAGATCTGCTCTATTCCATAAGAATGCATAGGGTCAAATTCTGTCCAGAAAAGGTTAAGCTCCCTCCTCTTCCAAGTACCTCCTATAGTATGGTGCCTTGGTAGCAAATGTCTATTTAACAAAAAATGTTCTAAGAAAAAAAGAAGACTATTCATCTCACTTTGTAGTACTACTTTGTCATAGGTTAAGATTTTTTCAATAGCCCCATGCTACAGAAACCTTATTAAAATTCACAAACCCTCCAGGCCTCCCTTGGCAGAAAAGAAAGCTCATTTTAGTACTAGATTATCACCTTTCTTCCATAATGATCACTGCTGCCATTTCAGACCCTCCCTTCTCTCCTTGCCTTTGTGGATTGGGGAACACAACCCTTGTGATTTGCTATGCTAAGTGTTTTTGGGATTGGTCCCCAGGGAGAGTATGTATCCTGCCTTCTCTCACTGCTCCGCCAAATGTGTGACACCCATTTCCAGCACCTCTTGGACAACTTTCAGAGCAAAGATGAACTCAAGGTAGGCAGCAGAGCACTGGCCTTTCATCCAGGAAAGGAAGTGTATGGTCAAGACTGCCCAGGGGCTTTTTCCCCATCACAGGGATAATTACCAGTGACCAGTACCGCCACAGGTGTTAGATTCGCCAGCCCTACTTTATAGCTGAGTGTGTAGCCTCCAGTAGCTGAAAGCCAGCAATGTCGCCACACAACTAGACACATTTTTGCTGATTGATAGCAGTTCTGTGACCATGTTCCCCTATTTGAACCACACCAATTACTAGCAAACCAAGATTGTTTAAGAGAACCTGGCAATTCCCACACTACTGATGATAATCACAATTTTTCTTCATTTAAATGTGTTTCCTAAAAATGTGTTTCTAACACCTGTGGTGTTAATGGTCACTGGTAGTTATCCCTGTGATGGGGAAAAAGCCCCTGGATAGAGAACAAAGGTATGCACTGCACTGGCTGCCATACTTTAGAACTCAAGCACTGAGGGGCAGAGAATGCAGAGAAAGGCTTGAGATCCAGACAGGAGAACAATGCCCAAGCTAAGCATGGTGTCAGCTGCTGACAGACTCTTGGGGTTTGTGTCTTTGCATTACAGCCTTCTCTTCAGTTCATCCCTGGGGAAAGGAGCTACTGCAAACTTTAGGTGTATGCTCTGCCTTTATTCAGAACTACAACACTTGCATTTCATAGTAATACTGTGTTTATCTGTTTTATGCTGTTACAAAGGGATACTTAAGGCTGGGTAATTTATAAAGAAAAGAAGGTTCATCTGCTCATGGGGTTCTGCAGACTGTACAAGAAGCATCACACCAGCAACAAGTGAGGGCTTTAGGGAGCTTCCAATCAAGATGGAAGGTGAAGGGAAAGCAGGCATCTCACATGGTGAGAGAAGGAGCAAAGAGAGAAAGGAGGTGCCAGACTCCTTAAAAACAACCAGCTGTCACATGAACTAATACATCAAGAATTCATTCATTACCTGTGGTGACAGAGCACCAATCCATTTATGAGGGATCTGCCCCCATGAACCAAACTCCTCCCACTAGGCCCCACCTCCAAAACTGGGGATAGAATTTCAACAAGAGATTTGGAAAAGCTGAATAACCAAACTGTATCACATACCATCCACTGTTTTTCATTTCTATGATCTTTATTAACCATATTGAGTCAATTCATAGATAATCAGCTGTCATTTTCCAGTATCTGATCTTGTCTCTTTCTGTAGACATAGGTCTTTGCAGATTGGTCTCTGCAGACTAGAGTGAGGCTGGTCTATCATCTTAAAAGGAAAAATCTTGATAGCCCTTGAAGTGAGTCAGAAGTCATTTATACACCAGAGCACATATCCAGGTCAAGCAATGCTTGCGCTGGGGTACAGAGCCTGAAAGTTCAGACTTGATTGTCCTAGATCATATTCATCCTCTGTGTGTGTGTTATACTAACTGATTCTCAATCAGGTTGTCACCGTGGGTAGAGTGCTGTGGCATCATAACTCACAGCAACCTTAAACTCTTGGGCTTGAGCGATCCTCTTACCTGAGCCTCCTGAGTAGCCAAAACGACAGACATGTGCTACCACACCTGACTAGTTTTTCTATTTTTAGTAGAGACGGGTGACACTCTTACTCAGGCTGACCTCAAACTCCTAAGCTCAAGCAATCCAACCTCCTCAGCCTCCCAGAATGCTAGGATTATAGGCATGAGCCCAGCCCATTCTCTCACTCTTCATTTAAAGTTTATTATTTTATCACAGAAATAATGTGTACATAATTTTAAAAACCAAAGCATACTATAAAGCTCATAATGTAAAACACCTGTAGTCTCTGCTACTTGGAAAGCTAAGGCAGAAAGAGTTGAATCTAGCCTGAGTGCATAGACACATCTCTAAAAGAATTTCTCATGTCCAATCTTTACTCCTAAAGACAGGCACTTTCTTTTTTTTTTTTAAAGACAGAGCCTCAAGCTGTCCCCCTGGGTAGAGTGATGTGGCATCACAGCTCACAGGAACCTCCAACTCCTGGGCTCAAGCGAGTCTCCTGCCTCAGCCTCCCAAGTAGCTGGGCCCACAGGCGCCCGCCACGACGCCTGGCTATTTCTTGGTTGCAGCTATCATTGTTTGGTGGGCCCGGGCTGGATTTAGTACCACCAGCTCAGGTGTATGTGGCTGGAGCCTTAGCCACTTGAGCCACAGGTGCTGAGCCCCGACATTATCTTTTTATCATCCCCCTTCTTCAGTCTAAAAACTGTCTCAAGAAATCAATTAAATTAAAGATAAAGTCAGCAAGAATCTGAACATAATTAGGAAGCATACAGCAGAGCTTAAGGAATTGAAAGAAGTATTCAAAGAATTTGAAAACACAATAGAGTTTTAGCAGTAAGGTAGAACATGGAGAGGAAAGAATTGCAGAAATTGAAGACAAGACTTTTGAACTAACCCAATCATTCTAAGAAGCAGAAAAGAGCAAAATCAGAACAATCTTTTACAGAGATATTAAACTACATGAAATGAACAAACATGAATCATAGGGATTCCTGAAGGAGAAAGGGAGAATCCTAAAACCATGGAAGCTCTACTTAAAGACATCATGTAAAGAACTTCTTAAGCATTACAAGAGACTCAGAAATACAGACACTAGATAATTTCAGACCCCAGGACAACTCAATTCAAACAAAGCCTCTCCTAGACACGTTGTAATTAACTTAGCCAAAGTCAAAATGAAAGAGAAAATTCTGCAAGCAGCCAGGCATAAGCAACTTCTTACCCACATAGGGAAAAACTCAGGGTGACAGCAGACTTTTCAGAAGAAACTTTTCAAGCCAGAAAAGAGTGGTCATCTGTCTTTAACCTTCTCAAACAAAACAGTTTTTCAGCCCAGGATTCTGTATCCTGCTAAACTAAATTTCATATTTGACAGAGAAATCAAATCTTTTACTGACAAGCAAGCATTGAGGAAATTTGCCACAAGACAGGCTCTGCAGAAAGTATGCAGACCCATCCTTTACACTGACCATCACAGTGGACCACCATCAAAGTAAAGATACTCAGAAACTAAAGGGCAAAGCCTAGCTTCCACAATGGCATGAGTGATAAAACTAGGCAACAGACCTTCGCAAAACAAAACAAACAGAACAACACCATACTTATCAGTTCTCTTAATAAATGTGAACAGCTTGAATTCCTTACTGAAGAGGTACCAGCTGGCTGACTGGATAAAAAGGCACCAGCCAAGTATATGTAGAAATATATCTAACCTCCAAAGACAAAATAAGACTCAGGGTGATGGTTGGAAAACCATATTTCAAGCCAATGGAAATTGGAAAAATGCAGGAATTACCATCTTATTTGCAGATTTCTTGGGCTTCAAACCAACAAAAGTAAAGAAAAAGGTGGACACTATGTACTAGTCGAGGGAACAATACAACAAGAAGACATTTCAATCCTAAATATCTGTGTGCCTAACTTAAATTTTCCCAAATATATAAAACGAACCCTAACCAATCTGAACAATGTGATATCCTGCAGCACCATAGTAACAGGGGACTTCATGACCCCTCTGACAGAACTGGACAGATCTTCCAAGCAGAAACTAAAGAAAAAAGCAATGAATTTAAACAAGACTTTAGAACAAATGGGCTTAATAGATATATACAGAACACTATACTCTAATAAATTACTTTCTTCTTTTCAGCCCAGGTATCATTCTCCATAATATATCCCTTCTTCCAACTCCTCATAGTCAAATCTTTCAGATTTCAGGTCATCTTTTTTTTGAAACTTCCCCCCTGTTTTTATTTGTTTCAGTCTCTGTCTTTTGTTTTAGTGACTTTTCTCCTTTATAATTTCTCCTGTAAATTAGTTTGTGTCTAAAATTAAAGTCTTTTGGTACTGATTAGAAGCCCAGTGTATGGGCATGGCTTGACTCTGGAAGGCTTCCCTATAGATGGCCAAAGAGGATCGGGCCTTTTGGTCAGAGCTTCTCCTTCTTAATTCCTGTATCTATGGGCCTCCCTTAGATTTGTTCATTTTCTCAGAGAGGAATCTGTATCTTCTGGGGATAGAGTAACCTACCAATATTTTGGGAACCAAAGAGAAAAAAAGAAAGAGTCTGTGAGTCTTCCAATTTAGCAGGTAAATTTGTCTAAAATGCTTCTTTTCATTTTGGCACTTTAGCCCTTAGCTATTAATGTATCCTTGAGGACAGATCCTGAGTGATCAACTATTCCAAAGAACAGCCCTCAGTCTTCAGCAGGGGATGGAAAGACTGATTAACCAGTGACATGAGATAATAGAAGGGATATTGGAAAGTCTTTAAACTAATCTTCTTGTTTTTAGCCCTCATACCTCAGTTCCACAGAGGTTCCTGGTGGCACCTCCAAATTTGTGTGTCCTACTGAGATTCTTGTGTCCTGTTGCTTTTATCGTCAAAGGCTCTTGGCTATAGATGTTCCCAAGTCTATTAAGTCAGTTACCACAATTTCTTCTCTTTTAAATTTTCAGTATTTCTTGACTTCATTTGATTACTATCTTCTCCTCTCCTGTTTTCATTGTCTCTGTGATCTATGCATTTCTATTTCTTAACTGTTGTTTTAGAGGATTTGACAAGAAGCAGAGATGAGGAAACATTTTCAGTCTACCACATTGAATGTGGAACTTTGTAGATGTGTTCTTTTTATGACAGCATTATTAAGATATAATTTGCATATCATAAAATTCATACTTTTAAAGTATACAATTTACTTTCTCTGATTATATATCCATTTTAGAAGATTTATCACAAGTAATGAGATCAAGTTAATAATTTAAAAGTTCCCACAAAGAAAAGCCCAGGACTAGATTCCTTCATTGGTGAATTTACCAAATTTTCCAAGAAGAATTAATACCAGCCCTTAACAGATTCTTCAAAAAAATAAGAGAGGAGGGAACACTTTACAACTCATTTTATAAAGTCAATATGACCCAGAAACAAAACCCAAACACATTACAAGAAAAGCAAACTACACACTAGTACCCCTTATGAATATAAACACAAAAAAATCAATAAATTATTAGCTAACTAAATCACGAAACACAATAAAAGGATTATAATGTACCATAATCAAATGGGATACATCCTAAAAATGCAAGGTTGCTTAACATATAAAAATAAATCAAGGAAAAAAGGGCTTCTGTTTTAAGTGGCACATATGGGGCAACTCAACTTCTCTTAGTGCAGAATCGACATCAAGAAATTTTGGAAGCATAATTTTTTTGGTACCTGGATAGCTGGTGTTCATTGGTCCCAGCATCCACATTTATAAATAAATAAATAAATAAGCGATGTTAACAACATGGCAAAATAGGAAGCTCCTGACTCTTCACCCATGGACACACCAATTCATGGATCACTTCCCTCTGAGAGGAAATCAGAGATAAAGTTGAGAGATTCCTATCCACAGGCAACTGAGAAAACATTCACATTGAACAGGTAAGAAAAGGTGAGGCTCACTTAGGGACAGACTCCACCTCAAGCACTGCACCACAAGATCAGAAAGGGAACCTCCAACATTCAGCTTCTCCCTATGGAGAGAAGGACTTTACATATACTGTCCTCATTCTAATTTTCCTCATAGGTTGGCTCTTAATTTACCAGCTCTGGGAGTGGAGATTAGACACATGTGAGTTTCTTTAGGACACAAGAAAAATGTGGCAATTTTATATAGACACACAATTCTGGGGCTTCATCTCCCAGAAATGGTACAAAGAAGAGAATTAAAAACAGGAAGGGAAAAACTCTTCCAGTGGACACTTAGCAGACTGGCTTCTAACTGACTTACACCAGAGAGTTAAGGGGACAGACAAGTATTAGCCATAGCCCGAACAAGAAGCACATCAGCATTTGCTGAGCCTTCTCCTCTGGTTTGCCCCAGGGGAGTGAACTCCCTATCTATTGATTCCTCCTGAAAGAAGTTTTTCTGCACATCAAGTACCCTAACTTTTAAAGTTTCAACTCAAGGGACAACATCCTCAACTTCCCAACTCTGGGAGCAGAGGGTACTGGCATACACATGTCTCTCTAGACCATAGGAAAAAGTAGTGGTATTATATGGCCATGCACATAAGTACTTCTGGGATTTTATCCCCTGGAAACATTTCAGAGAAGGGGCTTAAAAATCGGGCCCCCTTGTTCCTCCTTGGAATGGGTATATAATACCCTATTCCAGTAGTTACTTGGTAGACTAGCTTCTAACTTACATCAGGGAGTTCAGGGGGCAGACAGGTACGTGGGTCATTACAAAAGTTTTGAAATACACAAAAATCAAGAAACATAACATCCATGTGGATGGAAACAAATGAAGCCCTTACAGCAACACTAATAAGCCAACCAAGTTTAAACTTGCACAGCTGAATCAGAAAGGACACGATTGATGGTGTTTCTTGGAATTGAAATAATGGACCATAACACAATCTGTCTCAAAACTTTTGTACTGACTCACATAGTAGCCTACCAGAAGACTGAGAAGCAGATTGGTACTTCCTGAGCCCTTTCTTCAGCTTACTCAAGTGATAACTCCAGGCCTATTACCCTCCTGGAAAGAGTTTGTCCACACATTGTGTGCTCCAACTTTTATAGCTTCTACCCAAGGGACTGGATCCTAAACCTCTTAACTCTGGGAGCAGAGAGGACTTAGTATAAATTAGTCTATCTAGGCCATAGAAAAAGTGGCTGTTTTCTATAGGCACATAAGCACTTACAGCAGCTTCATCTCCCAGGACCAGTACAAAGAAGTAGTTTTAAAAACACAGCTCTCTGGAAAAAAATGAGAGTACCTAAAAAAAGAAACACACATACACCCAAACTCCCCCTTCCTCTGCAGAAGGAGTTTATGCCATAAATTTGTTGCCCCAACTTTTATAGCTACCTCCCAAAGGATTCCATGCTAAAACTCTTAACCCTGGGAACAGAAGGAACTAAGCATATGTGAGTCTCCTTGGATAATAGAATAAAGAGGTAGTTTTAAACAGGTACACAAACATTTCCGGGGTGACACCCATTTGGAGCAATGCAGAAAAGGGGCAGGAACATGTAGCTCCCATTTTCTCTCTAGAAGGGGCTTACAGCACACTATTCCAATGGCTGCTTGATGTTTTGACTTCTAATGAATATACATACATCAGAAAGCTAAAGGAGAAAACAAAACAACAGCTATTTGGTATCCTAAAACAGAGTCAGCTCTTCACAGGTCTTTCCTTTGGCTCACCACAGTGATAAATCTATATCTACCCATTTTTCCTGGAAGGAGTTTGGCCATGCATCAACTGCCCCAACTTCTATAGGTCCCACTAAGGGACTGTCTTCTTAACAACCTAGCTCTGGGGTTTTGTGTTTGTGAGGGGCCCTAGACCACAGAAAAAAGGAGGTGGATATACACAGTACCCACTGGCAACAGTTTTCTCCCCTGGATCATAAGGTAAACACAGACATCTGCCATAGATCCTTTAGCAGCTTAGTTCAGAGAGTGTGGGATAAAATGCCCACGCTCACCTTCACCATGAAGATGGAAGGAAGTGAAACACACTTTAACACTTCAACACTTCCTTTCCAGGTGAATCTGGAGAATCTGGCTCCTACCTTATCAGTCTTGGGGTACTCACTAGATATGGCCTATGCTCCAGGGACCACCAAAAACAAAGATAGCAGTCTGTACAAACACAAAGATTTAAGAGGCACCTTAAAATCTCTTGCCATGTGGATTGTTGAGATCCTTCTACACTAAGCCAGGATGATGAAAGACAGAGGTGATTGTCTTATACAGGGTGTCCATAAAGTTAGTGTGCAATTTAAAATATTTTTATAATGAGCTAAAACAAACAGAGAGTCAAGTAAAATGAGGAAATAGGGGAATATATTCTAAATAAAAGAATAAGATAAATAGAAACCAGCCCAAGTGAAGTGGCAATGTGTGATTTACCCAATAGGGAATTCAAAATAATAGTCATAAAGCTGCTCACCAAGGTTAGGAGAAAGTAATACAGGAACAAACTTGAGAATTTCAACAATAAAGAGATAGAAAGCATTAAAAAGGACCAAAGAGATTATAGAGCTGAAGAATACTATAAATGAACTGAAAAATTCAATAAGTGGGTTTAACAACAGATCGGATCAAGCAGAAGAAAAGATCAATGAAATGAAAGGCAAGTCACCAAAATCATACATTCTGTACTCACTTCAGCAGCACATATACTAAAATTGGAGAAATATTAAGGACACAGTGGCTCACACCTGTAATCCTAGTACTCCTGGAGGCTGAGGCAGGTAGATTGCCTCAGCTCACAGGTTTGAGACCAGCCTGAGCAAGAGTGAGACCCTGTCTCTAAAAATGGCTGGGCATCGTGGGTGCCTTTAGTACCAGCTACTTGGGAGGCTGAGGCAAGAGAATCTCTTGAGCTGAAAAGTTTGAGGTTGCTGTGAGCCATGATGCCACAGCGCTCCACCAAGGGCAACAACATGCCCCAAACAATGAAAAAGAATGTGTAGTTTAAAAGACTCATGGAACACCATCAAGCATAACAACATACTCATGAACAGTATATCAGAAGGAGAAAAGAGAGTGAAAGGGACAGAAAACATATTCAAAGAAATAGTAGTAGAAAACTTCCTGAGCCAGGAAAGAAACAGAAATCTAGATCCAGAAAGCCTAAATAACACCAAATGAGATGAATGGAAAAAAAAAAACCCATGTGGAGATACAACATAATCAAATTGGCATAAGTTAGTATTTTAAAACAGAAAAAGAAGATCAAATTGTGTATGTACAAAGAAACCCCATAAAATTACCAGTGGATTATTCAGCAGAAACTTTTCAGGTCATAAGGGTGTTGTATGATATATTCAAAATCTTGAAAGAAAAAAAAAAGTCAACCATTAATACTATTCCCAGAAACCCTATCTTTCCAAAGGTGAAGCATGATAAAGACTTTCTCAGACATCCCAAAGCTGAGAAGTCTTATGACTACTAGACCACGTTATGAGAAATACTAATGGGCTTCAACCTGAAGGAAGAAGATGCTAATAAGTAACATGAAAACATATTAAAATATAAAGTCTAAAACTCAATGGTAAAAGTAAGGGTATTATTAAATCCAAACCACTTTAATACTTTTATGGTAGTAAGTCAATTATATCTTTAGTATAAAGGTTAAAAGGGAAAACTATTGAAAACAACTAAAGCTGCAATAATTTAAGGGATACAGATTATTTTTAAAATATAAGCTAGGCACAGTGGCACATCCCTGTGGTCCCAGCTACCCAAGAGGTGGAGGTGAGAAAAGGAAGGAAATAGTAAAAATCAGAGCAAAAATATGGATGGTGCCTGTGGCTCAGTGAGTAGGGTGCTGGCCCCATGTACCAAGGGTGGTGGGTTCAAACCCAGCCCTGGCCAACTGCAACAAAAAAATACCCAGGCATTCTGGCAGGCACCTATAGTCCCAGCTACTCGAGAGGTTGAGGCAAAAGAATTGCCTAAGCCCAGGAGTTGGAGGTTGCTGTGAGTTGTGATGCCACAGTACTCTACTGAGGGTGAGACTCTGTCTCTTAAAAAAAAAAAAATCAGAGCACAAAATAAATGAAATAGAGACTAGAAAAACAAAAGAAAGAATCAACAAAACTAAAAGCTTATTCTTTGAAAAGCTAAGAAAATTGACAAACCCATAGCAAGACTAAGAAAAAAGAAGAGAAGATTCAAAATCAGAAATAAAAGACAGGAGACATTGCAAGTGATAACACAGAAATACAAAGGGTTATAAGAGACTTCTGTGAACAATTATATGCCAATGAATTGGGCAGCCTAAAAGATGAATTCCTAGAAACATACAATCTCCTAAAACTGAATCATGAAGAAATTATAAATCTCAGCAGACAACTAGTAAGGAGCTTGAATTAGTAATTAAGAGTCTGTCATCAAAGAAAAATCCAGGGCCAGATGGCTTCATAGTTTAATTCTACCAAATGTTTAAAGAAGAACAAATACTACCAATTCTCTCAAACTCTTCCAAAAAAATAGAGAATACTTCAAAACTCATTTTATGAGACCAGCTTACCCTATAGGCCAGAAATACTAATAAACATAGATTTTAAATCCTCAGCAAAATACTAGCAAACCATATTCAACAATACATTAAAACAAAAATTCACATGATCAAGTGGGCCTTGGAAAAAAGGTTGCTTTGACATATGCTGATTAATAAATGTGATTCCTTTTTCCCTTTCCACTTTATTTTTATTTCAGAATATTACAGGGATACGCACATTT